ACCAGGGAAGTGCTTATTCCACTGAGCTATCTCCCCAGCCCTAGGAAGCACTTTGATCCAAGCAATCCCTTCCTTGGGAACAAAGTCATCCAGTTGGGTTATTCCCTCACTTCTCCCACCCCCATGATAAGAAATAAAAAGGAACATGCTTGAAAATGTCCCTGAAGCAAAAGGCTGGTCCTGAAGGAGGTGGCCTAACAGGTAGCAGGGCACCAGCGCAGTGGAAAATCTGGGCTATTGCCTAAATGAGTCACCAGGACAATGTGCAGGGTGTTGAAAATGCTTATATTCTAAGGGGAAAGAGCAGAGTAGGCTTGAAACTGCATGTGATTATAGGAATTCAGGTGACAAATACGAAGATGGTAAATGACTTTAAAGGAACAAGAATAAAGAAAAGTCTTGCTTTTTATGTTTGTGGGATTATTTAATTATAATCATGTTGCTATAATGTTGCTCACCAAAAATACAAATAAATAAAAAAGCACCTGCACAGAGAGTTGGGCCTCTAGACAAAGTAGCAGAAACAAAGACTACCCACCTTCAATCCTCTTGCTCTGCTAATAAAAAGAGCTTTACCACATTCAGGGTTAAGATGAACTTTTTTTTTTTCCCAAATCCCAAGCTTTAAACCTATTATTAAAAAACTGTGAGTTTCCATATAACATGTTGACAATCTCTAAGTATTCTGGATTAAAATTTTCCATTTAATAAAGGGATTTTGAATTCCATTCCAGTGCCAACCCAAGTCTTTCAACTTCTAAAACTAAAAGAAAAAAAAATACTGGATCCCATCACCCTCCCTGGCCACTGCTCTCTCTTCTTTCCATTACACTGGGTTCTCCCCAGACTTCTCTCCATCCATCTTGCCGCCACTCCTCAGAACATGCTCACACCAGCGTCAACAGTGTCTGCGCTTTCTATTGGACAAATGCTTGTTTTGTTTGTTGTTGTTGTTTGTTTTGTTTTTAATGCATTTAATACAGGGTCTACAGGGTCTCACTACACAGATCAGCCTCTTAGTGCTCCTCCTGTTTTCAGCTTCCCAAGCCCTGGGATTACAGCTGTGCACCACCACACCCAGTCTCAATCAATGTCTCAGTGCACCCCCTGGGGGGCAGGGCCGGCATGGCAGGCCAGGGATCAAACCCACAGCTCCTGTATCTGCCTATGCAGGTGCTTTAATCCTCTAAGCTATCTGGCTGGCCCTACATGTTTGTTTTTAACCAGATACTCCCATCGCTGCTGACACTGCCAGCCCCTCTGCTTCTCCGGCCTGGGACTATAATAGGACTGCCTATTACTTTTAGTCCATCCTCTTCCCCAGTGCAGTGTTACTCCCTTTAATCTGAGTTTGTTAATTCAACAAAAATATCTAAGTGGATGGGTACCAAATTTGGAATGAGTGAGAAACGCAGAGTTATAATTTACAGTGACACAGGGAAACTGAGTCCTGAATCTCAATCTGCCATTGAACAAGAAATGCAAATCCTTCTCAGGGAGTCACACAAAAGATCAAAACTGTATCAGTCAGGGTTTTACTAGAGGAACAGATACAGCACAAGAAGTACAAATGTATAAGAAATTACAAGATTGGGGCGGGGAGATGGCTCAGTGGAATAAGAGCTTCCCTGGCAAGTGCAAGGGCATGAGTTCAATCCCCAGTTCTGCAAAAAAAAAAAAAAAAAAAATTAGAAGATTGGCTCATAATGGTCAGCTGTGGAGTCAGATGAAGAAGCGTACAGAGGGCGTCTGTTCACTGGAGACTGAAGGAGTCAGCCCATGGTCTGGAGCTCCCTGCTGTGTTCTGTGAAGTCCATAGCAGGAGGCCAG